ACAAGATGGTGTATGATGTTAAGTTGGCTAAAATAAAAAGTTAAAAGTTGTAAGTCATCAAGAGTATTACAAAAACGATAAATATTTACACGTTCCATTATCATGTTCTTTTTTTGCAATGCGCGCGTTTTAACTCGCTTGAGGCGGCGGCGGCGGCGAGGCCGGACCAGAGATGTGCCACGCGGCCGGATGGGACAGGAAGGGGACTGCGGGCTGCACGTGCAATGACGCGGAACGCTCTGACCTTCGCATTTAGTTTTAGGCACCGCCAGCCCCACACGTATTCTGAAACCTAATGATCTGGAATTTGGATAGGCCTGTGCTACATTATTACTTTAAAGGAGACATAAAGTGTATAAATAAACCGACAATTCTGTTTACGAACGTGTATGCGTCGAGTCAAACTGCAAAGAAGGGAACGGACGGTGGGAACTAGTACTTTTGTGTGAGGGTTATACTTTCGTATTTCGAGTAAAGAATGTTTTTACCTCTTGAGACCATAGTTACATTCAAAGAATCTGGCATGTATCCCAAACGAGTGTAATCATCAAAATCATTAATTTCCGAACTCCTCAGTAAAGCCGAGTACCAGTCCTCTGATATCTCGTCCCTAACATTCCATCTGGAGAATGACACTAGAAGGGGGAAAAAGGAAAGAAAGGATGATTATTTAAAAGAATAGTAAAAAATATGAATACAAAAAGAATATAAATATACTGGTTAGGTTGAGTATTAGTTATTGACACCCCGAACAATTTTACAATATTTGGAAATCTTTATAGTAACGTAAATAAAGAACTAAAATAGTTGTTATGATGTTTGATCATAAATAGTTATCTTTAAACATAAAAAGGAACTATTTTAACGTCAGATACAGCGGGTTGGGGGAGGGGGGGTCAATGGGGAATCAAGAATTCGCTTCTGATGTACTGTATTCAGGGGTGGGTTAATAAGCATACATGTCTGCCCCGCGCTTCAGTCGGAAGTTGTCACCGAGCGGCACAAGCGCGACTTCATTCAAGGACACAGCTCTGAGGGAACTTCCGCCAGCCCCGAACATCTGGTCTCCATTCATCCACGCTCGAACAAGAAAATACACACGTTCCTGACCTTTTAAAAGAGTGGTCATTTTTGCTTTATTTTACATGTCCGCCCACTCATTTCAAATTTGTCCATGCATAAGCAATTCTTCGTCAATAATTACAATACGAGAGAGAGAAAAGAATCACTGAAATTATATATAGAAATCAAGACAAAAAGTGTTATATTCTCGACCTATCACAAATTACAGTAAGTAATATATTTTCAACATGCAATATTAATAAACCCTTTAATTGCCGGCTTTAACACTCCCGGACATGATTGAGCTTGGATAATATTTTTTCATACGCAGTAAAATTGTTTATTATTTCCTAGTAGTTATACTGTATACAGTTCCACGTATATATACCAGAATATAAACAGTGTGGGAGTTTCCGAGAAGTGTGCACGTCTCCCTACTGCCTCCCTCCCCTCAAAAGTATACAAATTTACCCTCAAGTAATAATTTTAGTTTGTCTCGAAACTTAACAAGCTGAAATGTTTTACTATGAAACATCAACACTTTGAAAAACATTGAATGGATTTGACTTTTACCCCTGTCATAAATAACACAGGTTTTATTAACAGGATTATTTACTTGGTACCAATTTTGAAGTCACACATTAATTAATAACCCACTAATGCTCAACTACTAGTAGGACCCTTGCGAAAACTCAGGCCTTTGAAAACACGTTGTTTTAAAAGAGAAAATTACTCAGTAAGTATTTATAAATTTATTTATTAATGATAAAATCATCTCCAAAAAAAATTTATGTAAACATAATTTCTTCAACCATCCAGAAAAATTTGTATAAAATTGAAGATAAAATAAATAATATTAAAAAGAAACACAAATAGGCCTCGTCCTCTTTACGTTTTATCGTAAAAGATCATTTCTGTATTTTCCTTCAATTTAGTGTTACATAGCACTGTATACTTTTCTGGTGACCCATGCTATGAAGAGGGGATACTAGAAAGAACTAAACTTAAAAAATGTAAAATAAAATTAAAAAAGATCTCATTTTGTAGAATACTGCTTAAGAAACATAATTTGGGACCCTCCTATCCTTCATTTTTCCACACTTATCTCCGCCTGTCCCTCTTCATCCCTCCCTCTACCTGCCCCCCCCCCAATTCTCGTGGCCCTACAGAACTCACCTGTTCCCACAAAACGTGTGACCCGAAGGTGCACATAAACCTGATCTTAAGGACCTTACGTATCGTATGTATATTGCAGTGATATGTTTTTATGTTATCATCTGCAAATCTTCAATTTTTCAATCTTCAATCTGCATCTTCATTTTTTGTCTTAAATCTGTTGGATGCAGTACTGACGACTAATTCCAGCGGTAGCACTCTTACAGGGATTCATGTCGATGGTTTCGTATAAATTGTCTAAAACCAACATCTACCCATACTATAAAGACAGCCTAAAATTAATTAATCCACCCGCTTTCAGTCTTTTTTTCATCTTTTACGTGTTTTCGAATAAAAATGTGTTTAATTACGTGGCATTTTAACCCGTTTAATGCAGTATAAATCATTTCTGGAATATAAAGCCTCCCCCTAAAACTTGTACTTTCGCCCCCCGTGCCTCGCGAATTCTGTCCTGAGCGACGGCGGCGGCGGCGGCCATCTGAATGTCACGGAGCGCGTTTGGCAAGCGGCGAATGACGCAAGCGGGTGATGGCACCCGCACGGGCTTTATGGCGGCCTCTGGAGGCCGTCCACCGCCGCCCCCGCCCCGCCCCCACGCCTCCTCGCTGCCACCGTGGAAAGTAAATACAGAAAGGCCGGAGGGCGACACGGAGATGAGCCGCGCTTTCCCTCCCATCAATCAACAATGGAACAGCGATCGTGTCTTGTCATTTATCAAAAGCAAATGGGACGCCAATTAAGGATCAATTACTTTTCGAACAAAAAAGCCAAAGAAATAAAAATAACCAGAAACACTGTCCACGAAGAAAACATTTTGCGGATGCATTTCAGATATTAATATGTTTGGACTCGTCACTTATGAAATCCTTGAAAGACGTGTGTTTCGTGTTAGTCAAAACCTAATATCAAGAGCATAATAAAGATGTATTTGTGTTTGCTATTCATCATCTCGTGATACTCTTAATTTAAGTAAGCAACGAATCAACGAACACACATTTCATAAAAATCCAGATAGGAGGGAAATTACTAAAAAGTATTACAATTTATAAAAAATATTAAATAATAAAATAATAAAAACATATTATTATTACTTTATAGGTAAGCACCTAACAGGTACGTGCTTTCAAAATGAACCCTTGCAACACAACAAATGCATGTTCATTTTTTCTCAGAAAACATTTAGGAAGAATGTTAGATGCAATAATAATAGGATAACAAACTTCCAACTTCTCAACAAGGCAGATGACTTAACCAACACCTACTCTATAAACTGAAGCCAATTCATTTCCTAACATACGAAAATTATTGTTTCTTATGAAAATGTAAACAAAACGTGACACAATCACATTGCCTCCCACTCTTGTTTCTAAAACTGCACACTTCTTAACATAAAATACCAGGAACAACATCCGTCAAATATTAGTCTTTCAGCAACTTCATTTTCAGGATCCAACCGAACTCCACATGGAGTAGCTGCAGCGCGGGGAATTGGGATCATACTCTTGTCTGTCAACTGACAAATATCTCAAGAGCGTTTTCAAGAAAAAACGAACGATTTAAACCCCAGTGAAATTGAAAAAAACTAATCAATTCATTAACCCGATAAACCTTTCGATTACTATTCACCTCGCCTTCACTTTCTCATCGGCGGAACACGCAACCCTGACAGGTACCGTGGCGCGGGCTATGTAGCCCCAAGGTTGAACTACCCAGTCACGTTTCTGCTGTCCCCAAAACGACGCAGTACCAAGTGCATGTCATTTAAATATTTCGCTGCCTGCGTGGTTGCATTTCGCGCTCCAGCCCCCAGTCCAGGCACGCGAAGAGACGGGACGACTGTCGCTTCACCTCTGACCTACGGGAGAAGAGGCATTTTCACATTCCCAGAGGACACGGCTTTTAGTGGAAGGCCTCGGAATCACTCTTACTGGCTGTGTTCGGCTTTACTACACCACTAAGGACACCCTTTAATCACGACACACAAACAGTAAACAATCTTACTTGACAAGGAGTAACAATGCAAAATAATTCGCAAAAGCCAATCCACGAATAGAGAGCAAAGAAGTCTCAAGAATACATGGTTTAATTAGATTAATTAGTTGTATTAAAATACATTTCACTCTAATCAGATGTACTCACACCGCAAATATAGACTTTATATTAAATCATAATTAAAAATGTTTATATACTGTAAATAAATTAATGTTTATGTTTAAAAGGTATAGTTCGTTGTTTAATTATAGAGAAGAGTTTCTCGAAACATCGATTCAACATTTCTAGCTCTCCTTCATTGCTCTCTAACACACAAGAAAAGGTTACCGCCAATCGTTTGAAATGGTATTGAATTTGAAATTGTTTGAAATAGTATTCTGAAACAATTCACAGAAAAAAAAGGAAATAATTTTTCCAGACCTGCAGTTGAAAATAGATCCAAAACAATATAAGTTAGCGTTTTAATTCTAAACACGAATATGATAAGTATCTTTTTAAAAAATTGACTGGAAAGTATTTGGAAGTGAAAGCAATAAGAGAGGCCACAAGAGTTTCGATTTTTTGATGGAACAAAAAAATATATTCTTCCGGAGAAGAGTTTGCACTCTTTTTTTAATAAAACGAAGGGGAATTACAAAAATGAGCATGTTATGTCTCATCATGGGTCGTGATGATCAATTGAAAAAGGAAGTTTAGTTTTCCGCGCGGGCCAAAGGCCGAAAGGTGGAGGAGCCACGTAGGGTGCCTGGGCCTGGCGCGGGGCTACTCACTTGCCGAAGGCGGAGAGGGCAGCGCAGGTCGGCGATGCACAGTCCTCCGGGGCCGCTGTCTGGGAGCTCACTGCACTTGCGTGGTCGCCGAGGTGCGGCGGTGGCAGAGGCGGCGGCGGGCCGTGCTGGTGGCGGCGTGGCAGGGGGAACGGCTGCGCGCAGTGGGCCCAAAGAGCAATGTGCTCGCAACTCTAGGGAGCACGTTCTGGCAAGCGGCAGAGCAGGCCATATGGCCGAAGCCTCGCCATTATTAATAATAATAATAATAATAATAATAATAATAATAATAATAATAATAATAATAATTATATTATTATTATTATTATTATTATATATTATTTATATTACTATAATTATTTAAAATTTTTGGGAAAACGAGGGACGAATCGACTAATTGACGAACTGAAATGAAGACCATCTTTGCATACGCCGAATATATCGCATATTCCGATTTGCATATTCCGAATGAATGATAAGAAAACTCTTGGAATAGTTTTCTTGGCTAGCTTCCTTGATGTGAATCTTCTGACGCAAATTGTAAATGAGACACCTATCCATGTATGTATTAATTCTGCCACTGGCAGCCACTAATATTAATACTTTTCCAGCAGGGCACATGGAGCTCGCAGCGGTGCCAAGGTCCCCTGCTGGTGGCAGTGGCCCGCTTCGTGGCGTCCCACGAGCTTCTCGGCGTAACTAGCGGCGGGAAAGGTAACACTGGTCAACGTGAGATTTGGTCTCACGAGTATCAATAGATGTAATTAATACAGTTTTTATCTACTTTTCAAATACGTATTAGGAATTTCTCCATCCCCCTCAGAGTGTTTTGATTGTTCTATTAATGTTTTTAAATTATTGATAAACACTTTTTCATTCATTTGTCCATTGTGAAGTAAAATCTCCTACAGCATTGTAAGTATGATGGAACCGAACGAGTTATCTCAAATGGGAGTGTTGCTACTGTTGTGCAGGTTCAGAGATGTTCTATTATTTTCCTTTCAGAAAGTGCGCTCCTACATTTTTGCTCAATCCCGTACTAATCTGACGTACTGAATACTGTGCCCCGATGCGTTGTGGCTCATTTGTGGTTGATTTCCTCATCAACCGCGTCAAACGCGTAGACTTGGGACGAATCAGCCTGTACGTTCCGTTTTCGCAATCTTCGTTGGAGCAGAAGGCGATACACGCGTCTTTTCCTTCCTTTCACACGAATCTATAAATAGAAATAATCATTCGGGAAAAGACCGATCGTAGGATGGCACAAAACTTCGCTCTGATCTTTCGGGAGATTTTGGGGGAGGCTTGGCCCCCTCGCTTAGCTACCCAGAAAAATTTCCCCTTCTTCCAATGTTTTTCACTAGGTCTACTCAGGGCGTTGAAGCACCACTCTTAACATAGCGACATTTGGCACGCAAAGGTACGTGTCGTAATAAAGAGTTACAACGTCATACCTGATGCCTAATGTATCCCTTCCCAAAGAGCGTCGGGAATCGCCCTACATAAAGAGTGTTCGTTGTGGGAGTCTTTAAGTTCACAAATGTAAAATGTTAGCCGATAAACAAGAACGATTACATTTTGCCCAACGCTAATAACATGATTGTCCTATGTGATGCAGTTTCAATTAATTCTTTCCAACATACACACATCTGCCAAGAATGAACCAAAAATATTAGAAACAGCTAAAACATTCGCGAAAAGGATGTTGAAATGTTGAAATTATATCTTAGCCTTATGTTATGTATCAGCTGAGGTGGCTCAGGGTATCAAGGGTAGCAGGATTTTCAGCACTGGCAGCACTTTCAGCAGCTAGAGAGTTAGATCGAATTCAGCCGCTATCAGAAGGATAATTCTAGCGACCGGTTGCTCTGATCGGTAATGTTCTTCGCGATCTTTCCTTCCTCTCCATTTTCCTTACTTACTCACACTTGCTCCCGCACACACAACATTACTGTGTACGTCAAGAAACCAGTCGGGCGCCTAAAGTTTGTCCCTGCTGGGCGGTGCCCCAGCGGTTGGAGATACCTGATTGGAAACAACCCGCCAGCCGACATCTAGGTGGGCGCTAGATCTCGTCATCCAACTCTAGGGGCTGAGGGAAGAAGCGATAAAATGACGAATGAAATGACCGTCTGACATGAATGTTCTTGGGAAAGTTGCCTATTTCAACTTTCTTGATTTGGATTCCTTGACTTGAACATTTCAAAGAGTAGAGAAATAATAAATCGGAAACCTAAATATGGATTGAGTCTCTGGGAGGGTTAAATGAATGCTTCTCAAGCAGGAGACACCAGTAGTACGACGTAATAATTCCCGGTTGCTCGGTTATTTATTTTTCCCGATCGTCTATTAGACAGGGAAGTGAATGAATTCTAGCTTTAGTGTAAAATGAAAGTAATACAAGCCCCTCTTCACTCTGCCCAAACTCACCCCGTTCCGTCTCGCTGCACCCACCCCACTCCGTCCTGATCATCTCCCCCAAGCTTTCTCAACCCCTCTTCGTCCTGCCTGCTCTCCCCAGCCGTTCCGCATCTGCCTCCTCCCGTCCATCCACGCCCAGCGCTTTTCTGTTCCCGATCCGCGTTCCTGCGTTCGCCTGGTCCCGTCTAGCCGCGCCTTGCTCAGCCCCTGTCCGCACCCTTGCAATGCAATTACATAACACGTAAGTGCAGTGCGGGTTGCATTAACGCAAATTTTGTAAATAACTTGGTGAAACCTGTCTTATGGCAGGCGCGAATCCAAGGGGGGGGGGGAATGAGGGAAATCCCCCCCCACACACACACACACAAATTTATCAGAAACAATTCATTTTAACTTGTCACGAAACTTTCAAGCACAAATATTTTCGCATTATCATTAAAACGAATGAAATCGTACCGCGTGTAACCTGCGACGTTTTACAAAATTTGAAAAATACATATTCGACGAAAGCATTTTGAATTTCCCCTCCCAAAATTCGTCTCTAGATCCGCCCCTGCTTACGATCACTAATAATTTCGGAGAATAATAGCTATTAGTACAGGCTTAATAAAGGTATGAGAATATGGGAAAGAACCTAAGTCTCATGTATGATATTTGCAACGACGTAGATGTGCTTGAAGTACGAAGTAATGTTATTACGTTTTTATTTTTACCTAAGATACAAAATAACGAAAAGTTTCCTACACGCGCACAGTTGCATGTGCAACATTTCGTATACAAATAATACTATTATCCTTTTATTGCATTGTCTGTTTCTCGCCACTGTTTGTAGGTTCCCGTTGGGCATTATAGTCATTACTTATGTTAGACTCTATGAAATGTATCAAATGAAGCTTACAGGATCTACTGAAATTCATGTTTATTATTTCATGTATGAATTGGACGGACGTTTTGAAAACGGACGTTTTGAAAACAACAACACTTTTTAAAAATGAGAGGGCCCCAAAGCGTGTATTTCCATTGAAATTTCAAAATTGTGTATCCGCATTACTTACCTAAGCAATGCAAAAGAAAAGATTTCACCCAAATTGAGCTACTTGTTTGATATTATATTACCGTCGAAATAACTAAATCCTCCAGGCCAGTGGCGGCTAGATAAATGAAAGTTCAAGGAAACGTGCACTATTTATAGTTTCTAATCTAAGGTTACCATATTTTTTTCAGTGAAGCTGGAGGCGTTATTTAACTTGAGAGTTAGATTAGGTGATAGTTTGATAGGTAGTATGTGGGACACCACAAACCAGAAATTATTTCATAAAATATTCTTTAAAAACTGCCAAAACATTTGTATCTTTAATTAGTCCAATATTCTACTGTACTAATACTGTACTTATAATATAGCTAAAATTCGTATAAGTAATTTATAATATTATTGCATGCCTTAATTGCCGTATTAACGGCGTCTTGGACGTTACCGTAGCTAGATCTAAAAATGTATTTTTGTAAGATTGCTTTAATCTTTTGTGCACGCGTTCGGCCCAGTGTGCAACTCCGGGCTTCGTGGCGGCGGCGGCGGTGGCGGCGGCGCTGCGATGCAGCAGGCCCTCCGCCACTGCCACGCTCTCCGCTGGCCGCAGCAGCTGGCCGCCGGCGTTGCCACATCCGCGCGTCGCCCCGGGCCCCTTCCGGCCCCGCCTGCGTCCACGGGCGCCTCGCGGATGCGACCCCAGGGAACGTGATTTGGGGATTTTTAAAGGTTAAAGCCCTGTGTCGTCTGACCCTCGCGCCTCGCGCCACGCGAAGGGGAGGCAACGGGGACTGCGTGGCACTAAATCCATCGGTTTAAACCATGGTTATGGGATAGAGCGATGAGAGTGAATGTTGTGCATGAATGCGCAGCATACCAAACCTTTTCCTCTTCTTTCTGTTTATCATTCCATACGTTGTTGTTGTTGTTATTATTATTATTATTATTATTATTATTATTATTATTATTATTATTATTATTATTATTTTGTTTCGCTAATCGGACCATACGATACGTGCATCCCACCGCGGCTCAGACTTGATTACCCGTGTAGGTGCGCGTTACTTTTTGTGTTGTACCCCAGAGAGATGGGATGAAATCATGATGATCGCGATCATTTCACGCGCGAAAGATGAACTAGACACACAAAAAACACGAGGCGGGACTCGAACGCGCGATCTCCGGTCCGAGACCGCTGCGGCACTACTCGGGACTCGATATCGGCATTATTATTATTATTATTATTATTATTATTATTATTATTATTATTATTATTATTATTATTAAGTTTATAGCATTATTTAAAGATCTAAAACTCACTAATAAACGGCATTGGAAAATTTAATCTCTAACTTCAATATTTGAGGTGTCGAAAATAAATTCAACTTTGCAATTTTTACATTTTCAGAGATTTTAATGACAATTGAAACAATACCATTTTCACAAATAAAAATTCTTCTATTCTAGCAAAAAATAAATAAATTTAAAATAATTTAAAAATATTAAAAATATGCAGAAAATGTTGAAAATGTCAGGGGGGCTTTATTCACAGTACTTCCAGAAATTAAAATATCTTAATGATCTCTGAAACGGGACAAAAACTCAAAATTCTTTCTTTATGGGAATGGAAAAGTGGATGGAGGAATCTCAGACCGTCAAATTGGTGCTGTACAGGAAATTATAGTTCATTCGCCAACATTTTGGACTTGCAGAACTTTTTGTATTTCTGTCGTTTTTACGCCACAAAAGTCGTTCGACAAAATGGTTATCAATTTCTTTACAAAAAGACGACACT